ATACAGTCCCTGGGTTTGGATACAGTCCCTGGATTTGGATACAGTCCCTGGGTTTGGATACAGTCCCTGGATTTGGATACAGTCCCTGAGTTTGGATACAGTCCCTGGATTTGGATACAGTCCCTGGGTTTGGACACAGTCCCTGAGTTTGGATACAGTCCCTGGGTTTGGATACAGTCCCTGGGTTTGGACACAGTCCCTGAGTTTGGATACAGTCCCTGAGTTTGGACACAGTCCCTGAGTTTGGATACAGTCCCTGGGTTTGGACACAGCCCTCTTCATGTTTTTTGTAATAAAGCAGAACAAACATTGTTGTTGACATGTCGATGCACCTGTCTGCTCCTACCTTTGATGGCCAGGATGCTGATCTCACCGAAGTAGCTTCCCTCGCTGAGAACGACGAACTGCGTGACGCCATCGTCAGCGACCACGGCCAGCTTCCCCTCCTTGATGATGTACATCTCCCTGCCGATGTCGCCCTTCTTGCAGATGTAGTCTCCTGGACTGAAGACCTGAGGCTGCAGCTTCAGCACCAGCTCCACCAGCAGGCCAGCCTCGCAGTCCGCAAAGATCCGGACCTGCGGGAACCACACAGCACAAGTCCTGAGAGCAGGTTGTGGTTCTGGGATGTGAGGGGTACAGAGGTATGGGTCTGACCTTCTTCAGAGTGTCCAGGTGAACGTTGATGGCGATCTCGGCTCTCAGCTTGTCAGGCAGGTACTTCAGCACCTCCCTCTCATCCACTGCTTTCTTATTGGTCCACAGGAAGTCAAACCACTTGATGACTCGCTTCTCCAGGTCCTTTGTGACCTGCAGACAGGGTCAGGGGGTCGGAGGGGTCAGAGCTGCAGGGACGGTTGGGGTYGTTGGTCACACAGTCAGCCTCTGACCTTCCTGAAGCTCATGTACTGTTTGATGGCGTCAATGCGAGACTGGAAGTCRGCTCTGGCAGCGTTCATGTTGGTGATCATGGAGCCCACGTTACCAACGATGGTGGCAAAKATCAGAACGCCCACCTGGAGGACCCCAAAGAAGAGTGAGGTGATGWAACTGATTKATGGCATCACAAACTGATGAAAAGCCMCACCCACCAGGAAGTCCGTCACAACAAAGAAGTACTCTGAGTTCTCCACAGGGGGYGGGGTTTCCCCGATGGTGGTGAGTGTCAGCGTGGACCAGTACATGCTGTAGGCGTACTTCCTCACCAGACGACCAAACTCTGGATCTGCCGGGTCAGGGTACACGAACCTGTCGGCACCAAAACCTGAGTGGACCGGACAAACCCACGGTTAGAACCCTCAGAGTTAGTCCAGGACAGAAGATCTCCGCTTCAACCCACCGATGGCCTTGGAGAAGGAGTAGTAGAGGCAGGCGTTCCAGTGGATGATGATGATGATGTACATGACCAGGTTGGAGATACGAAGGGCGTTGGGGTAGTTAGTTCTGGTCTCGGTTCTCTGGAAGAACTCCATCATCCTGAARCAAACACACAGGAGATCTCCAAGCTTAAAGTCCTGAAGGTTCTGATTCAACCAACACAGCTGAATGTCCCTCCATTTGTCCAGCTGGKACCAGTAGGGGGTCTGATGTAGGGGGTCTCCAGCTGCCCCTCAGAGTTCCTTCACCTGTGAATGAAAGCAGGTGGTCCTACCTGTTGAACCTCAGCAGTTTGTTCAGGCGGATCTCGGGGTAGGTGGTCCCCAGAATCAGGTAGAGGACATCAGTGGGAATCATGGAGACCAGGTCCAGCTTAAACTGGAAGGTGTTCATGTAGCGYTCCCGTAGCTTCAGCTCATCCTTCACCAGCAGACCCTGCTCCAGGTAACCTGCCAGCACACACAGGTAGGGTTAATACACCTGTGTGACATTAGACATGTTTACAGCTGGGGGGGCATCAAACTGCAGGTGTCTCAAGTGTTGGTGAGCTCACCAGTCCTGGTCCTGAAGACCATGTCCAGGACATAGACCACATCAGAGACAAAGTCCAGGAAGTACCACAGGAACAAATAATCTGTCTGCAGCTCCTCAAAGCAGGCTCTGAAAGAAAGAAAGCRGAAAACAGGTTCTTCAACAACGAGTACACCTGGACACCTCACCTGGTYACTCTGATGATCWYACCTGGACACCTCACATGTCAGGTCACCTCACCTGGTCACTCAGGTCACCTCACCTTGTCACTCTGATGATCTCACCTGGTCACCTCAACTGGTCACTTCACCTGGTCACTTCCCCTGGTCACCTCACCTGGTCATTCATGAGACCTCACCTTGTCACCTCACCTGGTCATTCATGAGACCTCACCTGGGCACTTCACCTGGTCACCTCACCTGGGCACCTCACCTGGTCACTTCTCCTAGTCGCCTCACCTGGTCATTTATGAGACCTCACCTGGGCACTTCACCTGGTCACTTCACCTGGTCACTTCCCCTGGTCACCTCACCTGGTCATTCATGAGACCTCACCTTGTGACCTCACCTGGTCACTTCACCTGGTCACCTCACCTGGTCATTCATGAGACCTCACCTGGTCACTTCACCTGGTCACCTCACCTGGTCATTCATGAGACCTCACCTGGTCACTTCATCTGGTCACCTCACCTGGGCACCTCACCTGGTCACCTCACATGGTCACTTCACCTGGTGTGTTGTCTCACCTGGCGATGATGAGGGTCCAGTTGTACATGACGGGGATGGTGATGATGAAGAGCCAGTGGTAGTAGGTGTTTCCTGCTGGATCAAAGACTTTGATCTCCTTGGCCCTGAGGACAAACAAGACAACTGGACCTGAGTCAGGTTTTTATGGTGACGGGTCAGAATTACCTGAGACCAGGTGAACTCACGCCTCCTCTTTGGCCTTCTTTTCTTTCTCCTGTTTCTCTTTCTCCTTTTCCTTCTCCTCCTTCTCCTTCTGTTTTCTCTCCTTCTGCTCCTTTTTCTCCTGTTTCTCTTTTCTGGAAACATCAAAAGACGTAAACTGTCCTCAGAGGACAGGTGAAGCAGACAGGTGACCTTGAAGACAGGTAAGCTGTCCTCTGTGTTTTTAGGTCAAACTCACTCTTTCTTTTCTTTCTTCTCTTTCTTCTTCTTCTTCTTCTTCTTCTTCTCCTCCCTGTAGAAAGGTGAACAAACAGGTGAGTGTCAGGTGGTTCTGCTGGACTAAAACTGGTCTGGTTCTGTGTGATCCAGGTGTTCTTACTCCTCCTCCTCGTTGTTGTTGCTGTTGTTGACGTTGAACAGAACCCCCGGTTCTGGTTTCTGAGGGAATCTGGACCAAACAAGGAGAACATCAGGAACTGTAGACAACCTGGCTTTGGTTCTGACAGGTCAGGAACTGTTGGGTCCATTGTTCCTGACCAGTTAGAACTCTGGGTCCATCAGAACCAGTCTAACGGGATCTTTAAAGCTCAGATTGGTTCAGGTTTTACTTGTAATTAATAAAAACTCACCTGATATCACCTGGCTCATCCTCCATGTCCTGCAGGATGATGGTGGGGGGGTTCAACCTGAACCCGTGGGTCGGTACTGATGGTCCTACTTTGGCCATGAAGGTCTGGGTTCTGCAGGGTTCCTTTAGTCAGGGACAGAAGAACCRTATGAGACAGAGACAACATGAGATGCATCGGTTCTACAAGAACCTTCAGTCTTAGTTTTGTTGTTTGGACTCTCAAGAAGAACCTGAGACCTGGTCCAACAAAAAGTTCTGCCTGCAGGGACCAAAACGGTTCTGTTAGAACTGATCCATCATCACCAGGACCACATGTTGGACCATTCCAAAGTTCTCAGATCCACAGGACAAAACCGATACCAGGAAACAGAAAGTCATAACCAGGACATATTTGACAGAGTTCATCCTACAGCAGCAGGACTCTCAGATGTTCTGGTTCCTCGTGGTTGTAGAGGGTTCTGGTCCACTCTTCTTTCTAACATTGGATCAGTTCTTTAAGGGTCTGGATCAGTATCTCATGTTTGTAGAGGGTTCTGGTCCACTCTTCTTTCTAACATTGGATCAGTTCTTTAA